GAAAGTGATAAAGATTGTATCCTGATTGAGAGTAAGGATAGTGACGCAGTTCGTAACCTGAATGAGAGTAAGGAAAGTGATAAAGATTGTATCCTGAATGAGAGTAAGGATAGTGGACACAGTTCGTAACCTGAATGAGAGTAAGGAATATAATAATATTAATATCCAGAATGACAGTATGGAAAAAAGATTTGACTTAAAACAGCCTATTGAATGTAATGAATGTACTTCAAAAATCATACAAGGAAGAAGAAATCGATTACAATAATTATATTTTAAACGCTCATACAATCTTCAGTGATATTCCAAGTTCGTTCGAAGAAATACAAAGTAGGAGTGACAAATCTTTATGGGTGGCTGCTATTAAAAGTGAACTGGATGCCCATCAGTTTAACAATAGCTGGTCGATAGTTAGGAAGCCTGAGAATATAAATATTGTTGACAGCAAGTGGGTTTTTACCTTAAAATCTGACGAATTTGGAAATCCAAAAAGATACAAAGCTAGGTTAGTGGCGCGTGGGTTCACGCAGAAATATCTCATTGATTATAAAGAAACATTTGCTCCTGTGGCTAGAATAGCAAGTTTTCGTTTCTTATTATCCATTTCAATCCAATATGATTTAAAAGTACACCACATGGATGTAAAAAGTGCATTTCTTAATGGAAAATTAAAAGAAGAAATATATACGAGAGTGCCCCAAGGTGTGTTATGCAGTGCTAATAGTGTATGTAAATTGAATAAAGCAATTTACGGTCTCAAACAAGCAGCAAGATGCTGGTTTGAGGTATTTGAGCATGCACTAAAAGAGTGTGGATTTGTAAATTCTCCAGTTGACCGATGTATTTATGTTCTGGATAAGGGTGATGTAAAAAGTAATATATATTTACTTCTTTATGTAGATGATTTGGTTATTGCCACAGCAGACATAGAAAAGATGAAATGTTTCAAATCATATTTAATGAACAAGTTCAGAATGACTGATTTGGAAGAAATTCGATATTTTATTGGAATAAGAATAGAAATTGGTGATGGAAAAATACTTTTAAGCCAATCTGCTTACGTTAAAAAGATTTTGAATAAGTTCAAAATGAGTGATTGCAAATCAGTCAGTACTCCCTTAGCCACCAAGCTTAATTATGAATTATTAAATTCAGATGAATGGTATGATGCGCCTTGTCGTAACTTAGTTGGTTGTCTTATGTATGTAATGTTATGTACACGTCCAGACTTGGTCACTGCTGTTAATATTTTAAGTCGATATATGAACAAAAATAATGCAGAGTTATGGATATGTTTGAAAAGGATTCTTAGATATCTAAAAGGGAATATAGACATGAAATTAGAATTTAAGAAAAATTTGAGTTTTGAAAATGTAATTGTCGGATACGCAGACTCTGACTGGGGAGGAAATGAAATTGACAGGAAGAGTACAACGGGGTTTCTATTCAAAATATTTAACCAAAATCTTATATGCTGGAATACAAAAAGGCAAAATTCAGTGGCTGCTTCATCGACCGAGGCCGAATACATGGCCTTGTTCGAAGCTGTAAGAGAAGCCTTGTGGTTGAAATCCCTATTAGAAAGTGTTCATATCCAATTTGAAAGACCTATAAAGTTATATGAAGATAAACAGGGATGTATTAGTATAGCTAATAATCCCTCATGCCATAAAAGATCTAAACATATTGATATCAAATATCATTTTACAAAAGAGCAAATAAAAAATAATGTTGGATTTAACTTTATGGATTTACGTGGAAAAATGGGACTGGATGGAGAAGCCAAACTACACGAATAATTTGTTTCATTTTGTTAAATTTTTTCTATAACTATAACTATTTAGTTCTTAAGAGTGATCTGATTGGGTTCTTTGGGTTTTCCCAATCCTAGCAGCAAATGCTGGATCACTGTATTGTATGTTCCCAATAGAAAAGAAAAGAAGATAAGCAAGCACAAGCCACATAGATTAAGTTGAAAACATGTAATTTTAATTTTAATTATGATTTCATTTATAATGCAATTTTTGAGGGGGCGTATTGAATATGCACTAGAATATCCCCATTATAATTTAGAATATAACAAAAACAGCATTATAACATTATCGATATCTGGTAACACTAAAGTGTAAGCCACGCGGATAATCCTCTCTCTTACTTCCGTGATCTCTAAGTCTGTGGTTAGTTGTGCTGTGCTAAATAAAGAATAATATAATTTAAACTAAATAACATCGATTGAACTTATTTCCAATCCCAACACTAGCAAGCATTTGTCAACAATGACTTCAAACAGACTCCGTCGTTGGGCTATAATATTGATGGCTTACAATTTTGATATTAAATATCGCTCAACCACAGCTCATGGAAATGCAGACGCACTCTCACGTCTTTCTATAAGCTCAGATCCCCTTTTCGATAAGGAAGAGGAGTGCTATAACATCGTCGATACATCCTGTCCAATAAATGCCGATATCATCAACGAAAGTCTAAAAAGCGATGCAATTTTGCAAAGAGTATACCACTTCGTATCAACTGGTTGGCCAGACCAACAGGATGATCCCGAAATAGAACCTTACTTCAGCCGCAGATTTGCCTTGACGATCAACAACAAGCTGCTATGTCTCCATTCTGATGTCAAGCGAATTATTATTCCTCGCAAGCTTCGAAGTAAAATTCTTGTACTTCTTCACGACGGTCACTGGGGAATAGTTCACATGAAACAACTAGCACGTCAGCATGTTTGGTGGCCAGGTATCGACGACGACATAGCACAACTAACTAAGAGTTGCACCGTTTGCAAGGTAGGCAACCCAGCCCCGGTAAAAGGGATTCAAAGCTGGCCAAAAGCTACAAGTGCCTGAAGAAGGATACACATAGACTTTGCGGGTCCTATATTTGACTCAATGTGGCTAATATGCGTCGATGCTTATTCTCAGTTCCCGTTTATAACCCAAATGTCATTAACTACAACTGCAAATACAATATCAGCGCTCACGGCTATTTTTGCAATTGAGGGTTACCCCAAAACAATTGTCAGTAATAATGGACCGCAACTCACTGCAGAAACCTTTAAGGAATTTTACCTTCAACATGGAATTAACCACCTAACTACAGCTCCCTTTCACCCAGCATCAAATGGACTTGCTGAGCGCTTCGTCCAAACTTTTAAAAGTTCTGTCGGCAAAAACATCAAAGACGGGTTTTCAGTAAAAATAGCCGTTAGGAAATACCTTAGTTCGGAAACTCGGAAGGAAAAAATCCTGCAGAACTTCTACATGGTCGCCCTGTGCGTACGATCTTAATTCAACTTTTTGAAAAACAAACTGAAAGCCAGCATATCGAACCAAAGAAGTATTCACCGAACCAAAAAGTATTTGCCAAAAATTACGCCAGGGGAGAAAAGTGGATAAAAGCTGTCTTCTTCTTCGAACATCCAAAGGCTTTATTAAGCGCCACATAAATCATATTAAGCCTAGATCTGATCACGATGACCTCAGTAGCAGCTCCAAAGAGGACAACACTCCGTTTTGGTGGATGCCCGACACTTCCAATCCACCAACAACTCCGCCAAGCCCAAGACATGAAGAACAGCAGCCATCTAGCCCATCACAGCCTCTCCAATCCACCCAAGCTTCCAATGAAGTACCAGCACCAATCCAGCTAGATAAACCTCAACCGTCACAGCGACGTCGATCTGGTATCCCCATCCGCAGCAGTACTCGTTCGCACCAAGATGTCAACCGTTTCCAACCCCCAGATTTCAGAAAGCGTAAAACTACTAACAAAATGTAAATTTAGGGGAGAGATGTGATATGTATCATAATCACGAAATCTTGGCCATTTGCTGTTTACTTTATCGATATTCTCTGTTATTATGTACACTCTAACATACCAAAAATACCACAGCTATACAGAGCCGAATAAAGTCAGTTGGACAATAAATCTCAACCCGATCTGTCGTCTCCTTTTAATCGGAACACAACCGCTTCCTTTTAGCTATTACATACTTTCCGACGATTCTAGTAAACCCTTTTACTCTACGGGTAGCGGGTATAAAAATGTGAACAAATTATAGCTTTGGTGTTTTTAGATATATTACACCCAGAAAAAAAAGAACGAAAAAAATCAAGAACATTTTTCATGAAATGCGAACAATCCGTTCTCCATTTTTAGTTCTCACATTTCGAACGTATGTTCACGAAAATCGAACGGTGTTGGTAACAATCTCTACCGACGAACAACTTGGTTCCAAATTTCGAAAAATGTTCTCGCCACATGGTTGATGTTTGTTTATTGCAACAATATGTCGGTCTAGTGTCCCGATTTTCCGCTATCGAAAAATTCGCTCGGTGGTCCAGCTGCTAGAGCGTCCGCCTTCGACACATGGTATCACAGGTTCGAGTCCGCAAGAAGACGGTTGTGAATTGTAAGTTTTATTAAAATATTATTTCTAATGTTTATATGTACTTCTATTAATTAATAAACTCTTTGTCTTCAGCAAAATAAACAAAACACATTGATTTCTAGCAATAACAAAACATAAGGTGGGAAATTAAATCTCTACCAGGCGTCCAGAAAGTCTAGCATGTACACAAACCTCGTTTTTTTTAATATTTTTATGTTCTCAAGTTAACCCCGAAATGTTCTTAAACTGACACCATTCGTTCGGAACCCAACGCTAAAGTTTCGGTCACATTTTACGAACAACCGTTCATGAACTGTCAACAAACGGGCTCACGCACTTTTTGACAACGTTTGGTCTTGATTTTTGAACGTTTCGAACGGATTTTATTCTGGGTGTACCTTCTACTGTTGGGAATATCATTCTTTTAATATTTCTGAATTTTGAATTAAACTTTTTAAAAACAGGACAACTATATCATACAACTGCCATAGGCACGATCGAATAATTACTTGGAAAATAATTCTAGATTTGTTATATTATTATATTTTTGCACTACAATAAAAACTTACTTTTATAATTCTTTTGACACTTAACTCACCTAATTCAACGTAGAGTTTTGGTCGTATATTCTCCTGCCAGGCACTTTGATTACCAATCACGAGGACTGTAAGTAGTAGGAAGACTTGCATCCAACCGTATCCGTAAACTTTGCTTAACTTATGTTTCATTATTGTTGCTTTAGCCGCCGTTGCACTTTTCAAATGCATTTTATGGCCTTTATTACTGTTGTTGTTCTTGGCGCTGTTGTTATTGTAGTTTGTGTTGCGTAAATGTAACATTTCTATTTTGCATAAAATTTAGATAAATTCCAGTTTGATTAAATTCACAACATTTATTATTGTTGACTGTGAGTGCTTTTCGTCGAACTTTATTGTATTTAAATGGATTTGGTTTTGCTTTTATTTGGCTTGTTTGTGCGTGCTTTTAAGTTTCTGCGTCGGAATTAACTTTAATCTTTAAATTGTAATTTTATGTGGCAAATGTGTTGAACAATTTTTGTGCAACCACTTTTACTTTTCTGTCATAACAGGTCAAAATTGTGATATTTTCTTCATTTAGTTAACGAAAAACAAATGAGAGGTCAGTCATTTCTGTAAAGAGAGAAAGAACGTTATATTGAATAAATTTTATAAAAGCATATATTAAGTGAAGCATTTAAAGGAGAGGATATAAAAAAAAAATTAAAGTGTTTTTTTTTTAAGATAAAGTAAAGATATTAAAGATTTTGAAAAATCTTTGTTTTTTATTTATAAGCCTAAGTTTCTAAGAAAATCATATCTCAAGACGGCCCTATTTGTATTTCTGTGGCATCCCCGATATTCTTGTTCGGCAACAGTAGACTGTGCAGCCCCAAGTTTTAATTTTTAATTAAATTCATAAAATCTGGAAGGGTAGTAAAACAGAAGCACAAAAATATCATTGAAAAGTACACTCAGAAAAAAAATCAAGTATTTCGTGCTTGAATAAAGTATTTTCGGTGTCAGAGCTTCGGCACGCATGGAAAATACAGAACCCGAGAACAAAATGCAGCATTTTTTTACCCGTTACTCGTAGAGTAAAAGGGTATCTAGATTCGTCGGAGAGTAGGTAACAGGTAGAAGGAAGCCTTTCCGATCCCATAAAGTAAATATATTCTTGATCAGGATCACTAGCCGAGTCGACCTAGCCATGTCCGTCTGTCCATCCGTCCGTATGAATGCTGAGATCTCGGAAACTACAAAAGCAAGAAAGTTGGGATTTGGTATGTAGATTCCTGAGCTTCTTGCTCAACGCAAGTTTGTATCTGCAGGGTGCCACGCCCACTTTAACACCCACAAACCACCGAAAACTGTGATGCCTACAGTTTTTATGCTAGAAAAAAATGTTTAACTGAAATGTATTGTTGTCGTCAATATCGATTGACCCAAAAAAGTTTGCCACTCTAACGCCCACAAGCCGCCCAAACCTGTGGCGCCCACAATTTCCATGCTAGATAAAAAATTTTAACTGAAATGTATTAGTCTCCTCAATACCTATCGATTAACCCAAAAAAAGTTTGACACGCCCATTCTAACGCCCATACGCTTAAATATGTCTGCCGCCCACATAACCATATATTGAGATAGCGGGTAGGTGGCGCATTACAATCTCGCTTTGCTGCTTGCATGTCTCCATCTCCCTTTAGCCCCCTTAGCTGAGTAACGGGTATCTGATATTTGAGGTACCAGGCTATAGCATTCTTCCTTGTTTAAGCTCGTATAAGTTTTTAGAATCTTTTGGTCTACAATCAAGTATGAATAATTCTTAAATCTAGTCATATTTTTACTAAATACAAGTACGATTTATCAATAAAGTAAAAAAGTTACAGGGATTACTTAAAGACGAATAATTCTTAAATCAATATGCATATATTGTAAAATTAAATTGGGTTTTTATTATATGCTAGTAAGAGGAATAAGTATTGGAAACTGAAATAAACGAAATATAACTAAATAATATTAATTTTTTAAGTTTACTTATGACTGCCGCTCACGGGCATTAACACTGTGTAATTAATGCGCCTTCTGTACCGAGCACTTTCAGAATAAGCAGTTGGGCATTATTAGAGTTGAAAGATATTTAATTTCAAAATGTGCTCAGTGAGAACTTTTTCAGCATGGTATACATGAAATCGTTCTTAAATCAAGGCTGTCTGTACTTGGTTTTAGCACGGTGTTTTTCCCTGAGTGTAGAAATTGTTTCCAGATATTCTTTGCTGAGTACCTTTTTAATTTAGATATGAAATATACAATAATAGGCTTCGTTACTGTTGTTTATATGGATGCAATGACACTTTATAAATAGTTGAGCGCAATATGTACTGTCTCTTACCCACCATTCTATCATTTTCCAATTTCACATGCATACATTTTGCGCTCGATTAAATGTTGGTCTCCTTTACCCTGCTCTCTTAAATCGGCTTATTGTGCAATCGTGTGAGTGCACACCCACACAAGCAAATATCACACGCACAAAGCCACGCCCTCCTATTGGGGAGTCGCAGAAATTGTTTTTTTAGTTGCCATGCAGATAAGTTTAGCGACCTTCGCCCACAAATGGGAAACCTTTACATCTGGCAAAAGAAAATGAATCAAGAAAACGAGTATAAAGCAAGGCGAAAAGAAACAGAAAGGCAGGAAGGAATATATGAGGGATATAAACGGCAAAAGAGGAAAACAAAGTGTAGAAGAAAAAAGAAAAGGTGCCAAGTAGCGTGCACAGCTAATGAGTCAGCACAGGCCCCGCAGACACCCACCAACCAAAACCACCCACCCCCGTGCAGAGAAATTAAAATTTAGCACGAAAATGTACAAATCTAGCACACGAAGGGTCGGCAAGCTTAGGAGAATTGAGGGCGGCATAAATCTGCCAGAGGTGAACTTTGAGGAGGGTGTAGCTGGGTGGCCAGAGTGCAGCGAAATTTGTTTTTCCAAACCATGTGCATCTGCGTCGGCTTCGTTCTAATTATGACCTCAACTGAACGCCGGGGTGCCAAGAAAAAATGGTCGGGATATAAAAAATACTAACTAACAAGGAAGAACGCTATAGTCGAGTACCTCGACTATCAGATACCCGTTACTCAGCTAAATGGAGATATGCAAGCAGCAAAGCGAGATTAAAATGCGCCACCTACCGGCGGTATACAGATTTAAGCGTTATGGGCGTTAGAGTGGGCGTGGCAAACTTTTTTTTGAGTCAATCGATAGGTAATGACGAGACGAATACATTTCAGTTAACATTTTTTATCTAGCATAAAAATTGTGGGCGTCACAGGTTTTCGCGGTTTGTGGGCGTTAAAGTGGGCGTGGCAAACTTTTTTTTAGGTCAATCGATAGGTATTGATGAGAACATTACATTTCAGTTAAAATTTTTATTCTAGCATCAAAACTGTAGGAGCCACAGTTTTGGGCGGTTTGTGGGCGTTAGAGTGGGCGTGGCAGTCTACTGAAACAAACTTGCGCTGCGTAAGAAGCTCAGGAATCTGCACGCCAAATCTCAATAGCCTAGCTCTCATAGTTTCCGAGATCTCAGCGTTCATCCGGACAGACGGACAGACGGACAGACGGACAGACGGACATGGCTAGATCGACTCGGCTAGTGATCCTGATCAAGAATATATATACTTTATGGGGTCGGAAACGCTTCCTTCTGCCTGTTACATACTTTCCGACGAATCTAGTATACCCTTTTACTCTACGAGTAACGGGTATAAAAATGCTAACTAAAAGTGCACGATTTTCAAAACCTTTTTAAACTGGTATACTGGTACAGCTTCGTAGTTTTTGAACACATCATTTTATACTTCAGGATGTTTATTTATTTTAGCTTACGTTTTTCCTTCATAACAAGGAAGAACTCTATAGTCGAGAGACTCGACTATCAGATACCCGTTACTCAGCTAAAAGGAACAAAAGGGATGGAAATGTACAAGCAGCAAAGCGAGATTGTAATGCGCCACCTACCCGGGATCTCAACTTCTATTAAATCAATCGATATGTACTGACGAGACAATTACATTTCAGGTATAATTTTTTTAGCATAAAAACTGCCAATCAATAGGTATTGACGAGACGAATACATTTCAGCTTACATTTTTTTCTAGCACTAAAAACTTAGGAGCCACAGTTTTGGGCGGTTTGTAAGCGTCAGAGTGGGAGTGGCATGTTCGCGTAACAAACTTGCGGTGCGTACAAAGCTAAGGATTCTAAATCTTAAGTCTCAACCCTTTAACTTTTATAGTTTCCAAAATCGCCGCGTTCACACGGTCAGTCGGACAGACGGACATGGCTAGATCGACTCTGCTAGTGATGCTGACTAAGAGTATATATATACCTTATGGGGTCGGAGTCGCTTCCTTCTATGTGTAACATACTTTTCACTTACCCTTTTACTCTACGAGTAACGAGAGAAATGGAGATATGAAAGCAGAAGAGCGATTATTTACAATATTGGGAACCGATCAGCGGCGCCACCTAGCGTAGTTTTCTTTATATGCCTTTAACTTTTTAATAGATGGTCCGATTTGGAATGAAGATAGATTTTGATAATTAAAGCAAATTTGCATTAGTACGTTTACAAAATCTTTAAGAATGAGGGCAATAGAGTGGGCGTGGCAGCCAGCTGAAATAAAATTGCGCCAGAAGCTCAAGAATCTGGATGCCAAGTCCCAACTTTTATAGTTTCCGAGATCTAAGCGTTCATACGGACGGCCAGACAGACAGGCGGACAGACGGACGTGGCTAGATCGACTCGGCTAGTAATCCTGATTAAGAACATATATACTTTATAAAATCGGAAACGGTTCCTTCTAATTTCTGCAAATTTTCAGACGAATCTAGTATACCCTTTAACTATACGAATTACGGGTATATATACTGTTTTTTTTTGGGAAAATTATCATACACTGTGCTTATGCTATGACTTTTTCATGAAATGAGCAAAACAATGTGTCCATAACACTGTTCCATGGTGTTTAATCGCCATTTTAGACCATACGTTTGTTCGGCTATATTGCTAACCATTCTTTAAAGATTACGTTCCCCCACGATATGCCACTCTATTTGGCCCCATACAAATCGACCCGCCCTGTTTTACATATTTGAAAAGTACGAAAAGTTGTAATTTTACGGAAACCCTTGCTAAATTATTATTGCCTAATAATAATATAATAGTTGAGAGGAATTTTAAAATTGTATCTTTTGTATGTTACCTAAAAAAAATGAGCCGCAGACGAAAAACCAAAATTACATTACCCAGCACCATCAACGACCGAGAAGAGAAAGGCCAGAGTTTTACGCATATGTCAAGTATTCACTTTGCAGCTTTTTGATGTTGCATGTACCTACACCATGCCGATTGTTAGCTTAGATAGAAAGCGGACAGACAAACTTGCCGGGTTGAAGGTGAATATATTTAAGTGTGAGTAAGTGGTCATGTATTAGTTGAGTACCAGTAAGTGTTCACGCAAAGTTTAACTTAAAACGCTGTTACTGAGCAGTAAACCAGTAATTATCGAGAGATGCCAAAGCTGTTTGAAGTACACAGAAAAAGGACATATGAACAGGTCAAAATA